TTACTATATATATATATATATATATATATGGAAAAATTTTATAAAAGGCATCAATGTAGAAGTAAGGTGCACCTTAAAAATTCATCGAAAAAGGTTGGTTAGATTTTAAAAAACTCTCCAATTGATTGATCAATGCGATAGTGGTATGTATGACAATGAAAAAAAAAGGACTTCAAGTTCTAAAAATAGTGTTCCTTGTAATATATTATATAGACTGTCCATTTATATGATTTTGAGGAGTTGATATATCTACTTTCTCAATACCATATTTGAAGCTTTAAATTTCAGAATTAGTAGTGAAATACATTTTCATGCCATCATAAGAAATTCTGGCATCGAAACTGCATATTCGAACAAGATTTGGCGGTGCGCCTTACCTTGGTTGTTAAGGTTGACACCTTATACATACCAGACCCTATATATCTTAGAGTAAATGACTAGATCTTTTGGAACTGGGACTATACTATGGAATATGGGATCAGGAGTGACTCTACTTCAAACAAGCACTTGTATATGTGGGAACATCCTTAGTAGGGAAAAGCAGCAAGTGTCATGGCGTATCAAATAGAAAAATGCCTCTTCTATTGGACCATAACCCCTAGGTGGGGATATGGGATGGATCACCCAGTAAGTAATCTGTTCCATCCTCTCATTCCTGGCAGCATTTGGGAGGTCTTGCCACCATGCTCGCTTTGGTGACATCATGAGTCTCCAACTCCCGAGGACCTGACCTTGGCCACCACCTCTCTCATGTGCCACTCCCTTGGGGTGCGGGTGCATCATTAGCTCGAGAACCAGATGCTTTGCCTGCTTAAGTGCTTCCAACTTGTCCATTAGTGGGTCTAGAATTCCTTCCCTCTTGCCAGTCTCCTCTCAGTCTAGAGTCTACAATCCCTGTCCCTTTGGTTAACAATGAACAAAGTGACGGAACTACTATTAAAGCAGGTAGGTTAGGTCCCTGTCTTGTGACTTGTTTATATATATATATATATATATATATATATATGTATATATTTAATGTTGATATTAGCCCACTAGCTCATAGCTCATATGAACATATGAGCCCAACGGCCAAGATTGAA